GATGTTTCCAGACAAGATCAGAGGAGGAAAAAAATATCAGAGAAAAGAAACTTAAGGACAACCAGGGTTGGGGCGGGGAGGGGTGTGTGTGTGTGTGTGTGTGTGTGTGTGTGTGTGTTGAAGGAACAGGGAGGATGTTAATGTGATTCCCATGTTCCTAGGCAACCAGATGGGTGATGACATCATTAACTAAGAAGGGACCATAGAGGGAGAGTTTATCATTTGGTAATTGTATTTCTAACCATATAAGAAATGCACAAGTATTTAGCAAACTGAATCACACCAGAATTGAAACAAAGTTTCCAAAATGAGATGGTAAATATTAATGCAATCTAGCAGCAATAATTTAAAAGCTAAGATACTGAAAATAGTTGCAAAGCCTTTAGAGGTATGACTTTAGAATAGAATAAAGGTAACACTTCAGAATACAAAACAACATTGTTACACACCTCAAATATGTAACTAAAAAGCAAGTTTGTTTTACTACTAGAAAATACCTGGAAATAACAACTATTTCATAAATTCAAAAACTCAAATATTAGTGCAATTATCTCAAAATATACATATGTATTTCTAAAAGGTTATAATAAAGAAATCAGGCAGCCACCATAATTACCATTGGGTCCTTTCTTATAGGTACTACCTAAGAATTCTCAGGGTATCTGGGTCCCTATCAATATGGCTATTGTATGGGAAACAGGCAGAAAAGAGTAGAAAGGAGCTCTGGAATATTTTGAGTGGCCAGAGGTCTTATTCCTTCCCAGGACCTATAACCTCTTCTTAAGTACCTATGTACTTAAGTACCTATGTACCTATTACTAAGTACCTATGTACTTAATCTCTCCTATAAGTACATTATAAAAAATGTTTCTTTCTCTAACCATTTAATAGTAGTTGCTGGTATGATGCTCTAATATGGCTGAATACTTCAGTGTTGTTGTTGTTGGTTTTTTTTTTTTGTAAACAAGGACATTCTCCTACATATCACAATAAAGCCATCAAGGTCAGGAAATTAACACTGATATTTCATTACCATATAATCATTAAATCCTATTCAAGTGTCATCAATTGTTCCAAATAAAATCCTCTAAAGCAAAACACAGTTCAAAATCACATATTGCTTGTGTGTATCTCTTTAGTCTCATCCGGTCAGCGATAGGTCATATTTTCTTGACTTTCATAAGCTAGACAAGTTACAAGTTACTTCATTTAAGGCTTTTTGGAAGTTTTCTCATGATTTGATTCAGGTTAAACAACTTTGGCAGCATGTTATAGATGTGGAGTTGTGTTCTCATTATTTCCTATCGGTAGCACATGACTTTAATTTGTCCCATTACTGGCGATATTTAACTTTGAACACTTGATTGAGTTCTACTAGGTTTCTCCACAATGTTATTTTGTTCCCCTTTGTAATGGAGTATTTTATAGAGAAGGTAATTTAAATCTAAATATTCTGTTTTTCAAAAACCTTATTTACGGGCCTCCCCGGTGGCGCAGCGGTTGAGCACTGGGTTGCGAAGCTGCCCGCGGCCTCTGCAACGCAGGTTCAATCTCCGGCTGCTCCCCGGCCACCAGAGGAGGGTTCCACATGGCGCGCAGACCTCTCCTGCCGCCCGCTGCTCCCCTCAGCAGTGTACTTCGGTCCTTCTGCCTGCTCTGCTCCCCGCTCTGCCTCTGGTGAATTCTCTCACCCTCCCGCGCTTCTGACTGTACCCAGTGCATGTATAAACAAACAAACAAATAAAATAAATAAATAAAACATGCCTCTATTTAAAAAAAAAACCTTATTTACATCAGTAGGCACTCATGACTTCTTATTTTATTTAATGAGTTATATAACCTAATTATTTATTGTGATGTTGAAATTTCCCCTCATCTGGTTAAAGGGACAGTCCCTGAAGTAGACTTCTGTGTCATTTTGACACATCACTTTTGAACATGTCCTACTTTCTGGCACACCAAGATGTCCCAGAACATGTTCTTTTTCTTGCTCAGCCTTAGAGTCAGTCATTTCTTTAAGAAGCCCTAGTTCTTTTTAATGGACAATGGTGTTTGGAGGCCAAGATCTGAACTCAGGTATGTGTTCATTGTTGTGGGGGTGTCTCTGTCCCTAGGTGCTCTCAATGAAAGAGTTAGGAAGCATGTGCATGCACATAATGCATATACACATTTACATCTATATTTATTCTTATACATTTATTGAAATCTATGAGTTTTCATAAATACTTCCAATTGCAATTTAATACCATAGAGTTTGTGTTTCCCTTCCATAGTTGTAATCCCCGCTGACAATGAGAAACCTGATATCCATGATTTTCAATGTATTTACTTGTATGATCTATCCCCTGATGTAACCAAACTTCACTGCCACCATCCCCTCACAAAGAAATCCTCCTCCTTCACTTGAGTTTGACACCTCATCCAAAGGTCCCCTATAGGATGAAGCTTTTCTTACTGCATGCACTAGTGCTTCCCCATGCATAAATATCCTTTTTTTTACTGCTTGGGTTCTGACAACCTACACTCAATCTCTCTCTACATGAATGTCCTCTTCATTCCACTCGGGGGTCTAATATCCTGCACCAGGTTCCCCTTCTTCATGGATACTCCTCTTACTCCTTGAGTTCTGAAATTCTGCACCATGCTCCCCCTGGGTGCAAAAGCTCTCCTCATGATGCATGGTCACCCCACTTTTGCTCCTATATTCTGTTCCAGGTTGCCCCACCAACTAAACATCCTCTTTACCTCTCTTTTACTCTGACACTCTCCCACCTCTGCCCCTTGTAGATGTCTTCCTCACCTTGTACAGGCTCTGATACCCCACGTGATGCTCCTTTGGGGCTGCCCTCATCCCATTTCTGGTCCACCATGGTTCACCCACCATGCATAGACTCCTGCTTTATTTGGTTTCATCTAATGACTCTAGGACTAAATTATTCACCTGTTTTTACATGAAATAATTCTCTTCTATTATTAAGACATTGTTTTTGATTTATTTATAGGACATAACTTAGCTAACCCACTAATATAATTTTTCCTTCGAATCAATATATCTCATAAACTACAGAGTTTACTTAAGACAATGTTAACTTGCCCATAGTTTATGATATTGTATATAACTAATTCATTTAGCTTCCCAAACATTTGTTTCAAGCCAAAACTTACTTTTTAAAAAAAGATTTATTTATTTATGCATACAAGAACTGGGGTGTAGACCAGAAGTGTGGGGCGTGAAAAGACTCACCAGAGAGAGCAGGGAGCAGAACAGGCAGATCCACTGAAATACACGTACCATGTGGGTTGCTCCCTGGCCAGCCTGGGGATGGAACTCATGCTGCAGTGGCGGTGATAGCCTGACAGTGCTATCTTTTAACCCTTGTGCCACCAGGGAGGCCCCTCAAGTCAAAACTTCTATTGAAGGTGTTTTTTTTTTTTTAAATAGAGGCATGTTTTATTTATTTATTTATTTTTTTGTTTTGTTTATACATGCACTGGGTACAGTCAGAAGCGCGGGAGGGTGAGAGAATTCACCAGAGCCAGAGCAGGGAGCAGAGCAGGCAGAAGGACCGAAGTACACTGCTGAGGGGAGCAGCGGGCGGCAGGAGAGGTCTGCGCGCCATGTGGGACCCTCCTCCGGTGGCCAGGGAGCAGCCGGGGATCAAACCGGCTCCGCAGAGGCCGCGGGCAGCTTCGCAACCCAGTGCTCAACCGCTGCGCCACCGGGAGGCCCCTGAAGGTGTTTTTATCTATAATCAAGGTAGTCAAAATCCTCACAATCTATATCACAAGGCTTTATAGGATCTTGTCGCCTTTTCCTTCCTCCCTGTCAGTTTCTCCTCTCCCACTGCCCCCCTATTCTTTATGCAATTATTAAAGTAGGCCAGGCCACTTCTGCCTTAGGCATTACCACCTCTGCCCTGGTGGTTTTTCTTCCTTGAATGCTTCCTCTTCAGATATTCCCCACTGTTCACTCTGGTAACTCCTTGAAATTTCTGTTCAGATGTCACCTTATCAATGAAGCCCTGGGGAACCTATTTAAAATTCCAACCAACCCTCCTTCCTCTCCCTTCTCTATCTTCCTTCTGTAGCATCTACCCACTTTCTATTCAATAATATACTATACCTCTTATTCTGCTTAGAATGTTTTGTGTGTTTTCTTTTTTTATTGTGTCTTTCTTCCCCATCCTACTAAACTGTAGCTCCACAGGGAGGAGATCTTTAATATTTTGTTATTACCCAATAAATATTTGTTGAGTGCAGACAGCCATTTCCTGAGGCAGTTTGAATCACAAAACTAAAATCAGAGCACCATCTAGTGTTCTTGGGAAGATGTGCTGATTTAACCTGAGACTTATTTGCATTAGTCATGGGATAAACAGTACTGGTTTAATCAAGCCTCATTTATTCTGTTTTTTTTATTGCTTCTTCTGGTTCTTTAAAAATTAAAATGTTTTCTATGATTAAACAGTCATGAACATATTGACTTCTCTGAGACCAAGCTTTTCTTCTCCTCCCCACTGCCAAAAACCAAAAACCAAAAGCAGTATAATTTTCTATTTTAGTACCTAAATCTTTCCTACAGAATACCAAAATACATATTTATTGATTTTTAAATTTTTGTTTTGGCCATTAAAAGTCCCTAAATCAAAGTGATAAAACTGTAGCAAGAGTGACTGGTGACATTGTTTAAAATAGTATCAAGATTCTCTAAGATAATGAGTACAATCTTGAGATGTGGAAAATACTGTTTTTCCATATATTATATAAAGGAAAATGATAAAAAGCTTTAAAATATTTAATACTTGATAGTAAGTAATGGAAAGAATTAGCTAATATTTATTGAATGTTTTTTGTGACCCGGCACTATTTTCACAGCTGATTAATCATCTTCACAACCCTGTAATATAGATTCTCTATGTTAAGCACTACTTTTTCAAGAAGCTGACTTAATTACAAAGCTAGTAAAGGGTGGAGTCAGGATTCAAAGCCAGCTAACTCACCGTTCATGTCGGTCACCTGACTCCATAGTTCATGTGCTTATGCCCAAGCTTTCTTCCACTTTCCCCAGAAATGGGAATGATGATGTTTTGTTTCAAACTTCCTGGCCTGGTCAAAGAAATTAATTCATTAATGTCCTCTTCTTCCAAAAAGGAATCAAGGCAGCCATAACAAACAAAAGCATATATAATTTTCTCAGAACTGATTCTACCCTCTGATTCTCCAATGCAGCCCCTCTACTCTATCCCTGGTTCTCATGTTTTAATGTTTTCAAGAGGATGGAAGTTTTCCCAAATTACCAATTAATATACTCACTTCTTGAATTTGGTTCATCTTAGCTAGAGGTCAAGGAAACAATTGAATTATTTATTAAAGTGAGTCCCATTAAGGAGTGGTTTATCAGGGCTACCTGATAAATTATTTGTATTATACATTATAGAATTATTTGTATTATACATTCCACTCTTAAGAGGTATGTGAATTCCCCAGAATTTCAGTTTGATAGAGTCTTTCAGGGATTATTGCCTATGAGTTCTTTCAGGCTCTCTAGGTGATTCTGGAAATAGGCCCCTGTAGGGTAAAGAAAATATCAGGCTTTTCTGCCCTTCCGCCATCAGGATAGATGATGGATCCTTATCCTGAATGCATGCCTGATGGCGGGCACCTGGAATAGGGTGTGGGCATAGGTAGATGGGATTCAGCTGAGTTAAGACTGTGCTTTTAAGGGCGGCGTCACGGGGACACCAGGAGCAGCAGCAGCAGCAGCAGCAGCAGCAGCAGCAGCAGCAGCAGCAGCAGCAGCAGCAGCAGCAGCAGCAGCAGCAGCAGCAGCAGCAGCAGCAGCAGCCGCCGCCGCTGAAGCCGAAGCCGAAGCTGAAGCCGAAAGAGAAGCCGAGAAGCAGCAGAACGAACGCTAGAGAGCCCAGATAGAGTGAAGACTTGCTGGGGGCTGGGAGGCCTGCCAGCCTCCCAGCCAGCACCCCTGCCTGCCATATGCCTGGTGAACCCCAATAAAAAACCTGCAAAACCACTGAGGACTCTGACTCCTCCTTTACCCGGTCTGCATGGGATCAGAGAACCTGCACTGTGTCCAGTCCTGCCCCTTACAGCCCCTCTCATCATCCTCCATGGGGACCTAGGACTCTTCCTAAATGTTTTCTTAACTCTTTAAATTTTCTAAATACAAGACTATTTTGGGAAGGGAAATTGCTAGTTCCCTTTTTAGACAGACTTTTTCAACTTGTAGTTTGAGGATTACTTATACTGAATTCATTTGGGGGAAACTCCTAGCCCCACCTCTGATATAATGCATCAGAATCTTCCAGCTGGGTTCAGGAATCTGTATTCTAATGACCTCCCCAGATGACTTTAATGAATGTATAAATTTGATAACCTAGGGGGGAATTTTGAAATATACAAGACCAGCATCCTTTGGGTTCTTGGGTGCTTTCCTGTCATAGGCCACATACCAGAATTTCAAGAAGTATCACGTAAAAACCTAATTATAAGAAGATCAAATATAATTTTAGGAGACTCATAATTAGCAAATCTATTTACAAGATTGTACGTACTTTTCTTGTAAATTACATGTGTGAAATGTCTCAATGAATTAAATATATAAAAAGTCTCAAGGTATTCTTTGGTGGATGTTGTTTAATCCTGCCTGGCCTTCCATAAAATTAACTGGCTGTTTAAAAGTTTTTACTATGCTACCCACACCTGAATTTCCAGTAATCCCTGAGGCATTCTCTTTTGCAGCTTTGGAAACGTTTTAAAATTGGAAACACAATCATCTTTTTGGAAGAACAGAGTATATAGTAGCTTAAAGGCAGAGGATCCAAATAGAAGGCCTTTTAAGAATTTTTTTTAAGATTTATTTATTTATGCATACAAGACCTGGGGTGTAGGCCAGAGGCACAGGGGTGGGGGTAGGGTGAGCGTATCCCAGAGACAGTGGGGAACAGAACAGGCAGATCCACTGAAATACAGTGCTGAGGGGAGAAGGAAGCAAGTCAGGAGAGGTCACTGATCCTGGCTGGGATTGAACTCGTGCTGCAGTGGCTGCCAATAGCTTCATAGTGCTGAGACCTAACCCCTTGTGCCACCCGGGAGGCTCCCAGAAGGCCTTGTAAGAATCTTTCTTTTTATAATTTGACTAAACTAAGTCATCATCCAATTGAGTAACAACTTGTTTTTGTTTCATTTTTAATCACCTAAACACGACAAGAATCTTTGTCCCTCTCTAATAATATAAAAGCCTCTTGAGAATCCTTCAAAAATACAGTTTAGATGCTCAAAAGATACAGAGAAGGAAACTATTTAATTTGACAACACTCCACCAAGATAGTGCAGATACCTAACAGAATTTTTCACTGGAATTAGCCCCTTCAGTTACATCATGTAATTTAACTTTCCTTCTTATGCTTTGTTTTCACTTGTTACTTACTCCTGATTCTTATCAGTTGCTACTACCTTCACTAATATCCTGAATCATAGTTGAACCAAGGTCACTTAAAAGACTTCTTTTTGTAGAGCCAGATTGCATGCCTGACAGAGTTGAAAAGAAATACCAGGAGATAAGGGCTGCTGAGATCTACTGGGCTGGGTATACCTAAGCAGCTGGGAACCATAACAACGCAAACCTGACTCCAAAACCACCTTTCAAAACTAAAGCTCTTTTCTAGAGGGTAATTAGTTAATACGCAATGCAAGGCAAGAGCTCTTATTGAAGCTTCTAACACTAAGGATGTTTGAAATTATACTGCATGTCTACCCGGTAAAACTTTTTAAATCTGATTTTATCTTTCCTTTATGAGATTATCAGAAATCCAGCACTTTAGTTTAAAACATGTCACTTCCATCCTGCTGCTTTATTTTGATTTGTTCCACTGTGTCTAGATTTGTTCTGATACATCCGTGGAACTAGGCAACTACTAGTATTTACTCAGCAGTCCCTAACATTTATTTCTTGAGTGAAAATGCGATGAACGGGTGGGCTTAATGTATGGATTTTTAGAAAACAAGTGATTTTACCATTTTTCTCTGCATACTGATGAAAACTTCTTGCAACGACAGAGAAATGAGGCAGTGTGAGTTTGGGGGAGAGCAAACTCAACGACTAGAAACTGAGTTTTATTTTTCTCTACAAGAAAGTTAGGGACCGAAGGAACTATTTAAAGCTTCTTGCAACATATTTTGACCTAATAAAACTGCTAATCAATTACCAACATAATTAACCAGTGTAACTTGATTTTGAAAGACGTTCTCATTTGTGATTTAAAAGAATCAAGTCTCGGGCCTCCCCTGGTGGCGCAGCGGTTGAGCACTGGCCTGAGAAGCTGCCAGCAGCCTCTGCAGTGTCTGTTCGATCCCCGGCCGCTGGGTGAGGGTCCCACAAGGCGCGCAGACCTCTCCTGCCGCCCGCTGCTCCCCTCAGCAGTGTACCTCGGTCCTTCTGCCTGTTCTGCTCCCCGCTCTGGCTCTGGTGAATTCTCTCAACTGCCCGCACTTCTGACTGTACCCAGTGCTTGTATAAATAAATAAATAAATCTTAAAAAAAAAAAAAAAAAATCAAGTCTCAATTGCAGGGTGTCAGTCCCTCAAGGCCAAGTAAGAACTGACTGATGAATTGGCATCCAAGTCACATATTTTCAACTGAATATACTGATCCCCAAGTGTCCCCCAAATAATAATTTTGACTCTATTGTCCACGAATTTACCAGAAAGCCCTGTTGATAGCCCAACTGCGTACCTCACAGCCATCTGTGTCGCCAGCACCTCCTGGGAGGGTGGAGGGGGGGAGTGGACACTTGGGGCAGGGCTGGGAAGGTTATAATCTGAGGAAACTAAAGAAAGGCGCCAGCGGTCGGGCCTCTTTCAAGGTCTCTCACGAAAAAATGTTGCAGAAATAAAACCGCCGCAATTTGGCCAGGGCGGCCTGAGGCGAGGGTCTGGCGGTGGGAGTCACAGGCCGCGGGGGAGAGAGGGGGACACGGTCCTCGGCCACCTCACGTCCGAGCGCGCGCAGGGCCGACTCCAGGCCGGGCTGGTAGCGGGCGCCGGCGCCACCGAGGACCCTCCCCGCCTGCCCGCGCGCTGAAGGGCGTCCCCGCGAGCCAACGGGCGCTCCGGGAGGCGGGGCGGCCCGGCCTAGGGGGCGGGATTTCCCGCGCGGCCGCCGGGCTCCGGGCTTCCGAAGCGCGGGGGGCCGCGGCGCACCGCGGGCGAGAGAGGGCGGGCCTGGGTCAGCCGCGGCGGGCGGGCCGGCGCCGGGAGCTGTGGGCGGCCTCTGCGTCTCCAGCCGCCGCCCTCCCGCCGCCACGATGCCGGGGATCGACAAGCTGCCCATCGAGGAGACGCTGGAGGACAGCCCGCAGGTGAGCGCGGGCGGCGATGGGCGGCGAGGGAAGGAGCGGGGCGGCGGGCCCCAGGCCTGGCGCCGCCGCGGCCCGGGGGACCCCTCGGCGGGGACACCCCCGCCCGTCGCGGGCGGCGCCCCGAGCCCCCGAGGCCCGGCGGGCGGCCCGAGCCCCGCGTGGGCCTGCGCGCTCGGGCCGAGCGGCGCGCGGGAGCCGGGACGTCGGCGGGCGGGGACCCAGCTCGCGGGCCCCGCGGTGGCGTCTGCGCCCGGGCGCCCTGCCCTGCGCGCACCGCGCGGCTTCTCGCTGTGGTGTGAGATGAGCAGTCCCGACCCTGGCATTTTCTCTCCGAAAACCTTACGGGGAAAATGCAGGAGGGCAGATCCTGTCGACATGATTTCTGTGGCTCCACTAGCAAGGAAAGGAGAGGGATCGTTTTTCCTCGGGGGATGCTGAGAGGCGGTGGACTTCCCCGTGTGCACGGCCGAGGGCCGGGCGCGTCGTGGGTGCCCGACTGCGCCCGAGTCGGGGCGGGGGCCGCGGTCGCTCTCGCTCGCGCTGCGCCCGGGTGTGATGGAGCCTTCGCGGCCCCGCGTCGGTAGCGCCGCTGGCTGCAGACTTGGCCCCAGGAAGCTCATCAAAATAAAGGCCCTGTTGTCTGTGTTTTGTGCCTTGAGGATGATGCTGGTGTGGTTGCCCCGGCTTAAGACAGTCTAGGAAGACGTAACCATTTATTTTTTCAGTATTGAATAATGAAATCTGTATTAAAAACGTCGGTGGGGACTGTAACGGGCGTCGACTTCATCCCAAGCCTATCTTTTTTTAAAAAATATTTTATTTTATGTATTTTTTTACATCTTTTTCGTTTTTGCGCATTTACGCCTTGATTATAGTCCCCATAAAATTCCCACCCCCCCTTGTTTTGCCTCTAATCCCTCCTCCCTTCCCCATCCCCTGTAGTGTGTCTCTGGTTTATAGTTGCTTGTTGATTTTGATTTTTACTTTATTATAATTAGTCTTTTTCCTGGTCCCTTATTTAGGTTTTCTAAATTCCTGCTATGAGTGAGACCATCCGGTATTTTTCTTTTTCTTTCTGGCTTATTTCGCTGGGCATGATCCCTTCCAGCTCCATCCATGTTGCTGCAAGTTGCATGAGTTTATCTTTTTTGATTGCTGAGTAATATTCCATTGTGTATATGGACCACATCTTCTTGATCCAGTCATCTAACTTTGGGCATTTGGGTTGTTTCCATAGCTTAGCTATTGTAAATAATGCTGCTATAAACAAAGGGGTGCAGGTGCCCTTTTGAATTAATGATTCTGTGTCCTTTGCACTGCTGGTGGGAGTGCAAACTGATCCAACCACAATGGAAAGCTGTGCGGAGATTCCTCAACCTGCTAAATGTGGAGCTTCCTTATAACCCAGCATTTCCACTCCTAGGTATTTACCCAAGCCTATCTTTTACCCAAGCCATCTTTTAGATGGTTTTGCTGGTTGGATAACACAGAATAAAGAACATTTTCTGAAATGTTCATTTTGAAGGACTAATGCAGGTATTTTCATATTTTGACAGTTTAACATGACTCCAGAAAAACAGGAGGAAGGGGCAAGATCTCCCTTTCCTGGATGGCATCTCTGCTATGGCTTTTGTGCCAAGTTGAAATTGGGTTCTGATTGTGAAACTGATTTTTCTCTTTTCCATGCTGAAAGCTATCTTCACAGACCAGTTGCCTGCTAGTAAAGCACTCTTATCAGCCTGTACTGACACAAGGGAAACCCACATCTTGGCATATCTGGACTGCCAGATTAGCCTGTTAAAGTTCTTCTTAATGACATTTTTAATGTAAGACTCTACTTGTTTCAGATGATTTGCAAAAATTTTGTGGGATGTATTGGTCAGGTGCACTGTGTCATTTTACTCTTTTATTATATAATACGTAACAGGTTGCCTTAACTTTTTCTCACAACCTGATTTTTATAGTCTATAAAGATAGTACACCTCAGAATGGGTTGTTGCATAGTGCCGTAGTGAGAAGGATACAAACTTTTGACTAATCTGATTAAACTTTTCACACAGTTAGTTTACAACTTCAGGGTTAATTTATACATACACACACGCTCTCAATGGAGTACTGAAAAAGATGAACTCTTGCCTTTCCAGACAATACAGATGGAACTTGAGGTTATACTAAGCAAAATAAATTAGACAGTGAAAGACAATTACTGGATGGTTTCATGCATGTGGAATATGAACAAAGCAAACTAATAAAAACAGAGCAAAAATAACTCTTAGATCCTGACAAGAATGATGAATTGTCAGAGGGGAAGGGGAAGGGAGTGGGAGGAATGGGTAGGTAATGGTGGGAAGAGCACTAGAACTTTGGTAGGAGGTGTGGTCTGGTGTATACACATATCTTTGTGGGAAGCTGTACTCCTGAAACTTAGATAGTATTGTAAACCAGTTGTAAATGGGTACAGGCCAGAGGCATGGGGGGGGTGAGAGGATTCACCAGAGACAGAGTGGGGAACAGAACAGGCAGATCTACTGAAATACACTGCTGAGGGGAGCAGCGTGCTAGCCTGGAGAGGTCTGCTGTGCCAGGTGGGTTTCTCCCTGGCTGGCCTGGGGATCGAACTTGTGCTGCAGAGGCTGCATACAGCTTTACAGTCTGCGTCTTAACCCCTTGCACCACCAAGGAGGCCCCGGACTAGGTTTTTTTATGCTTTCTTTTTTTAAGAAGCATCTGAAAATAGCACTTTAGGGTTGGGAGTAGGAAATAGAGCTGTAACAAGATTCTGTCAGATCTAAATCTCTGAAGCATGGGGAAGTAGAGGACTGAGAATGTGGATTTCATATACTGACATAATGATTTTGTGCTTTTTTTTTCAAAACCATGTTGACTTAGCTTCCTACTCTAAGAAATCTGTTGATTTTTAAAATAACAATTTTTAATACTGAGGCATAACTTGTATGGAATGAAAATACAAGGTTGTCTTTAAGATTGTATGCTGTAGTTAACTCAAAAGTAGCTGGTGGTATAATTTTGCCCCAGACTTTGGAATTCAGAATGGTTAGCATACCTTGCCTTGATATGCAGCATTTCCTTATCTCTGGTCCTTTATATAGTTTTAACATTTACTTATCCACAAGCTTTTCCCCCTTAAAAGGAAGAGAATTTTTATGTGCTTATTGTTAAAAAAAAAAAAGGCAACCCTCTTCCCCCAACAATTTAGATATGTAAAAAGAAAAGGAAAAAATAATCCCAAATTCTCCACTTAGAAAAACCTCTAGTTAAAATTTTATAGGCTACACTGGGGAGGGTATTATTTTCGTTTAGGATGAGAAGGAGCTTGACACTACTAGAAGAGACCAAGGAAGAAGAGAAATAATCATACTAAATTATCCTGAAATAACACATGTAAATATATATATATTTACATGGAATACTGTCCATTTAGTCTTGAACATTTCTTTTGACATCTTGAACCCTTGATTTATTCTTAGAGACTTTTTAATTCATAAAAATCAACCTTTGTTGTTCCTTCTAAAGTTTGTATGACGTAGTTGGAAAATACCTCTGTTTTAATGAAGTGAAATTGAGAACACATAACCTCAACATCTTGGCATTCCTATCAAGAGAGAAAATAGAATTCAGAATTAACAAAGCTTTCATCTCCTAGGACATTTCCTTCCTTTAAAAGAAAAACTTTTCTTTTTTCTGATTTATATAATGATTAACATAAACTTTTTGCTTTTATTTTATATAGACAAGGTCTTTACTGGGTGTATTTGAAGAAGATGCTACAGCTATTTCCAACTATATGAACCAGTTGTATCAAGCTATGCATCGGATTTATGATGCACAGGTAAAAAGCCAAAGGCTGACTCAGTGTTTTTAAAATGAATCTTTAAGCCATGAGGACAGAGATATTATCTGTCTTGTTTATTGGTGCCTAACCCTGTTCTGGGCTCATAGTAATATAATTTATCTAATGGAAAAATGCACTTTAAATATTTTGAGTTACAGAGTTCATGTTTCAATTATAAATTTGTAGCTTTAGCACTGCAAAATGCTCAGATTAAAGTATCTGCCTCTGCTCTCCAAACACAGGGATTTCTGATAGTGATATCTATATATGATTTTACTGAAAACCCTATATTGTCAGCACCATTTTCTCTACTTTTGCTGCTAATTTTATGCACTACATCTCTTTTGGGAGTATAAGATTTTTATAGGATTTTTATCCTGTACTTTTATCTAGTTAGAACTTTAGCTTTAGTTAGAAGAAGATATTAAATATTAGATGTAGTTTTAGAAGATGAATTTAAGAAGGATATGACTAGCGTTTTGACAGGAATAAAATTTGAGGCTATCTTTATGTAACAAAAATAAACCCTGTAGTAGCCTGGGTTCTTTGATACACTTTCTTTGGGGTTAATTATGTGTACAAGTTTCAGTTTTTCCCTTTATCTTTTTTCTGGGTTCACATTTTCATTATCTACCTAAAAGTTACTATGATAGTAGTTTATCTTTTCTCTTGTGATAGCTTTCTCTCAAGATTTAATTTCTGACCACAGAGAAATTGATTAATTTGTAAGAGAAATGTTATTTTTGTCATTGTATTCATCACTGAAAAAAAACCCCACACACCTCAAATTTAAAAAAAAAAAGTATTCCTTTATGTTACTATATATGACTAAAGGACTACATATTTCTGTATGTTATCAAGTGCATTATGGTCTAATGCCAGTATCTAGAGAGGGATAATGAATCATCAACATAGAATCTTCTGAGACTTTGGTAAGATTATTATAATTTACTTCCAGTTTTAGAGCTTTAACAGTATTTAATGCCAGTCTTTAGCTTAAAAAAAGCACAAATCTCTAACATTGATACATTAGTTGATAATGTCTATTTTGTGGTTTAATTTCCCTTTAAAGTGCTTTAATGGTAGTTCCCTTTCTAGTGATTTAATGAGGGGGTTGGTGAACATGTACAGTATTTATGTTACATGATAAAGTTGCTTAGATATCTTCAACTAAAACTTTTTTCTTAATCAGTAATATGGTGTTAATTTGAATGCTGATCTTTTCCCATAGAATGAATTAAGTGCAGCAACACACCTGACTTCAAAACTTTTAAAAGAATATGAAAAACAGGTACCGTATATGAAAGTTTTAACAGCATAATTTAAAAATAAGCAGTCATACAGTGTCTGTATTAATAGGATTTCTCATCAAGAATTCTAAGCTTTTTTTGAATTCACAGGAAATAATTTTGATATGGTATTGAAATTTGATGATAGCACTTATATCTAATTTTAATGATTTAATGTTAGACACAAAGATTATCCAATTTACCCCTCTCATTTTTACAAGTGAAGAAACTGAGGCTTACTCAAGGTTGCACAGCTGGTTACTGGAGGAAGTGGAGCTAAACACCAAGTCTTTGAACTCCTACTACAGTGTGCATTCCATGCACCACGTTGATTGGTTGCTTAGCAAACATTTGAATGAATGTTTACTAATTATATGAATTACTATTTTATTCAAATGAAATTTTTAGAGCTTACTAAGACTTTTGTATGTTTGCTGAAGTTATTTGGAACTAAATTTTTATTTCGTTCACAAGCTATACAAGCATCCGACATTTATCTTGTCTCTTTTTCTCACTTCTCAGCGTTTCCCACTAGGGGGTGATGATGAGGTTATGAGCTCTACTTTGCAACAGTTTTCAAAAGTTATAGATGAGGTAAGTGTTTTGCTTGAATAAGTGGTCTTTTAATTGAGTTAGTGAAGTTCTTTAGCTTTTATTGAGATCTTTTATTATAGTTATATGAATAAAGTATAATTATAAGTATTACTATTTAAAGAAGGACCTTTAAATAGTAGTGGTGGTTGGTGGTTGTCTCATAAAACAATGCTTTCTTTGATTACAACACATTATTTTCAATGCAGAAGCATAGAGATGTGCTTTCTTCACCCAATCTGTTCAGCATTCCAACTTTCATTGATATGACGATGTGGGCAGGGAGAGAAGAGTTAAGCTGTGAGCTACAGCTTCGCTGTTCATAGTTTGTCTCTGTTGCCATTAAGCAACATTTTACTTCATTAATCCTTCCATCCAAAACAGCCAATATCAACTCTTAATTCCTCTAATTAATTATTAGAACTAATCATAAAAAATTTTATCTAGAAGCTAGGAAGGAAGAGAAGTAGTCAGAAATATTTAGAGAGTTAATTTAGAGAGTTAATGTTCTCTACTACTGGAATGAAAAGCATGAACCATTATCTAGTTTTATCTTTTCTGGTCTCTTATCTAGAAAAGTAATTTTTAAAGATTTTAATAACCCATAGCAAAATATTATCCTGGGAGATCAATATAAAGGAAATAGAACTTATAGGAAATAAATTTTTTTCATTATGGTAAAATACACATTTCATAAAACTTAACATTAGTCACATTTACATTTAAATTCACAGTTTTGTGCAACTATGACCACTGATGTTCCAGAACATTTTCATTATCATCCCAAAGGAAATCATATGTCCATTAAGTATTCACTCCCAACTTCTTTTCCCCTCAGGCCCTGGCAACTGCTAATCTGCTTTCTGTCTGTATGGATTTTCCTGTTTTGGATATTTCTTTAAATGGACTCATAAAATTTGTGGTTTTTTGTGTCTTTCTTCTTTCATTTATCCCAGTATTTTCATGGTTCATCCATGTTGTAAAAATATATCATTCCTTTTTTTGGGCTGAATAAAATTCCATTGTGTGAGCATAACACATTTTATATATCCATCAGTTGATGGATATTTGCATTGGTTTTTTTTTTTTTTTTTTTTGGTGGGACCCTCGCTGGCAGCCAGGGAATGAACCGGCGCTGCAGAGGCTGCGGGCAGCCACGCAGCCCAGCGCTCAACTGCTGCGCCACCAGGGGAAGCCCTGGATATTTGCATTGTTTACACATTTTGGCTAGGTGAATAATACTGCTATGAGCATTCATGATAAGTTTTTTTTTTTTAAAGATTTATTTATTTATGCATACAAGAGCTAGGGCACAGGCCAGAGGCTTGGGGGGTGAGAGGATTCACCAGAGACAGAGTGGGGAATAGAACGGGCAGATTGACTGAAGTACACTGCTGAGGGGAGTGGCGGGCGAGTCAGGAGAGGTCTGCTGCACCATGTGGGTTGCTCCCTGGCCGGCCGGGAATTGAACTCATGCTGCAGAGGCTGTGGATTGCTTCATAGTGTGATGCTTAACCCCTTACACCACCACGGAGGCCCCTATAAGTTTTTTTTTTTTTTTAACACCAGTTTTAATACCACTTTTCAGGTCTTTCAGGTATATATCCTGTAGTAGCATTACTAGGTCATATGGTAGTTTTTTTAACTTAATGAAGACCCACCAAATTGTTTTCCATAGTTCCCGCACAATTTTACATTCTCATTAATAATATAGGAGAGTTTCGATTTCTCCAGATCCTCACCATCACTTTTTATTTATTTTTTTAATGACAGCCATCTGTAAATGGGTGTGAAATGCTATCTCTGTTGTAGTTTTGATTTGCACTTTCTTGATAGTGAATGGCGTTGAGGATCTGTTGTTTCCTGTTGGCCATTTGTATGTCTTTGAATAAATGTCTATTCAAACCTTTCCCCGTATTTAAATTGGGTTGTCTTTTATTACTGAGTTTAAGAGTTCTTTATGCTAAATACAAGTCCCTTATCAGATATGACTGGGAAATATCTCTCATTCAGTGGATTCTATTTTCACTTTTCACGAGCTTTTCTTGAGACTATCCTTTAATGCACAAAACTTTTTAATTTTGATGAAGTCAGTTTATATTTTGTTTTGTTGCTTGTGCTTTTGATGTCATAACTAAGAAACCATTGCCAAGTACAAGGTTAGCCTATGTTTTTTTTTAACAATCTTAAATGGAAATTTTTTGTATATTTTATTGTTTCACATTGTTTTTAATATCCTCATTAAAATGTATCAGTGCTTTTTTACTAGATTTTGCTTAATTTACAGAACACTGATTAAATGTCTGTAGTTATTTGGACTCTTTGTTCTTATCTTTTACTAGCTTAGCTCTTGTCATGCCGTACTTTCAACACAACTTGCTGATGCCATGATGTTCCCCATTACTCAGTTTAAAGAAAGAGATCTGAAAGGTATCGAAGTCAATCTTACGTTTACTTTTGTCAGCTGTCAGAAGATCAGTGCTTGTGAAGTGTGTTTTTACTCATTTGTAATGTGTATTGCTTATACAACTTGTGCCACTTTTACTTTAATTAGTCACATTTATAACAACTCCTGCTAGATGTTAAACTGGATGGTAAGGAATACTGATATGTATAACATGACACTTCCCTCAAGACCTACCAGAGGAGATTGGTAAACCGATAATTATGATACTCTGTGTCTTATAATTAGGGAGTGAGCAAGGTGCTCTGGGGCCTAAGAGTAGGGTGTCAGAAAAGCTTCACCAAGGTTGTAACATGAGCATTGAACAATGAAGATGAATTGCCGGGGAGAAGAGAGCCATTTTATTAGAAGGACTGGAATGAATGAAAGTATGATTGTAGAAATACGAGACTATATTGAGAATGACAAGAATTTCGTTGTATTGCAATGTTGGATGTGTTGCGACATGGCAGGAGACAACGCTAGAAATAGATTAGTTGGAACTAGATCATGCTGAAGAGGTTGAACTTGAGTTTATAGGCAAAGAGAAGCTGGTGGAGGTCTTTAAGAAGTAGGGAGACACAGTCCATTCTGTGGAGGAACTAGACTGGATTTAATGTCTGCTTTCTCTTAATTTACAATTTCAGATAATCATGCAGACTTATTTACAAAACAGGTTGATCAAATGAAAACATTGAAAAAATGCACAACAGATGGTAAAGTATTTAAAATATACATGGAATGAAGATGAATGTATTTTAGAGATGAAATATTTGTGTTGGTGATCCTCAAGAATCATTTCCAAGTTGAAGAAATTCAGTTTCTTTTTTCAATATAAGGGCACCAAATGCCATAATCTTAATTAATGAAGTGTTTCTCATTCAGCATATGAACTTAAGTAAGATTTAGTATCAAAAATGAATTAATAAGTTGTATTCTGATACTAGGAATATTTGCACATCTTAGAATTTGCAATAGTTTTGACAATGTTTTGTGTCATATTACTAACCTGTAGTAAGTAGATTTTCTGGTGGTATAACTTGCTAATATTAGTAATTGTTCCATAGGCTAGTAGAAACACAAGACTATTTTTCACTTTGAATGTTGAAGTATGAAATATTTGGAACTTTGTAGCTTAAACAGCATTTACCGTTTTCTAGCAAAAGTTAAGATATTTTATAAATATGTTAAACTAAAATTGTTCTTGAACTTTTCCAGAAATATTGACATTGAAGGAAGTGTTTCAGATTGCTAGTAATGGTAAGCCCTGAATATACTGCAGACTTACTTCTTGAAATGATGCATTTTTTATGGAAAGAACTCTATGGCCAGATCTATATATTAATTAATAAAAAACCTAATAAAAGTTTAAGTGAGCATTTTTAAAATCAGTGTTTTATTTAAGTTGCACTATTTGTGCAACAAGAAATTTAAAATTTAAATTAAAATTTAAAAGGAAATTAAATAATTTTACCTATTTAATACACAGAAACATATTATAGGGGAAATTTGGATGTGGGAGAACATTTACATGGAGTGATTATATGATAGGAAATTTTTATCTTGCTTTAGTACATTTGTTGTAAGATGTACATGTAATGACCACTTAAAGCAGTTATAATTTTTGCAAACTACTGTTGTATTGTTATTAGTAGTTACTTCTGTTTTTCAGATCATGATGCTGCAATTAACAGATATAGCCGATTATCCAAAAAAAGGGAAAATGACAAGGTATGATATATACTTTTTAGTATCACAGTTAACAACTGTTTCACTGGGCGTTCTAGTTTTCCTCTTTAAAAATGGTAGCCGGGCCTCCTCTGGTGGCGCAGCGGTTGAGCGCTGGGCTGCGAAGCTGCCCGCAGCCTCTGTAGCGCTGGTTTGATTTCTGGCCGGCGGGCGAGGGTCCCACATGGCGCGCAGACCTCTCTTGCCGCCCGCTGTTCCCCTCAGCAGTATACTTTGATCCTTCTTCCTGTTCTCCCTGCTCTGGCTCTGGTGAATTCTCTCACCCTCCCACGCTTCTGAATGTACCCAGTGCTTGTCTAAACAAACAAACAAACAAACAAACAAACAAACAAACAAACAAACAAATAAATAAATAAAATAAAAATGGTAGCCAGCAGTTACTTTATTTTGCAGTACTGCCCTTAGTTTATTCTTTCCTTTTAGTGTTTCAAAACTTTCCTAATAATTATTAATTATCAATTAATAATTACCTATTTAAGTGTAGTAATTAGAAGCCTTAACAAAGTGTTGACAGAGCACAGGGAGGGCAGCAGTTAACCTTGGTGAATTGGGAAAGGTTATACATTTAGGAGGTGCCATTTGCATTGAAGAAAAAATAATGTCACTGGATTGGGGAGAGGGCATTCCTGAAAGAAAAATAGCCTTTGCAGAAGCACATGGAGGTGTATGGAGAGTATAAAGGTTAAGAATGCTGGCTCCAAAGTCTGAGGATTGCTTGAGGACAAATCTCAGCTATGCCCCTTACTTGCCTGAGGTCACACACTAGTTACTTTCATTTCCATCACAAACATCAGTGGTAATGTATGCAGAGTACCTGGCTTATGGCACATTTTCATTAAATTCTAGCAATAATTATCATAATGGAAAAATAATATTTTAGTCTCATGGAGCATAGGCTGTATTTGGAGAGGTATGGCAGAAATGTCAAGAAAAAAGTTGCTTGGGACCAGATTTTTATGTTACTAACTTTGAATTTTGTGTTAGAGGGAGTTAGCCACCAGTAGATTCTAGGCAGGTGGGTAACAACATGCTGTTGTATTATATAATAAAAATACTAATGGAAATGTGAAGGGAACAAGACTAGAGGGAATCCAATGAAAAGATATTGGAATAATTTGCAAAGAAGAGAATCTCAGATAAGATTGTTACTGAAAATGGAGAGGAAAGAATACTTTTGGAAGATATTAAGTAGAATTGACAAGATGTATGGAGGAGGAGGAGGAATTAAAAATGAGTCCTAGAATTCTTGGTTGATGGGACAGATATTCGAATAATTGTGAGAGCAAGAAACAAAGCAGAAGAGCAGGTTTTGTGGGGAAGATACTGTCTTCAGTTTGTACATTTTTAGCACATTCTCTCTCTTGCTTCTGTTCTCCCTACCCCCTCTTTCTGCCTCTCTTCCTACCCTCCAGAAACCTGCTGAAGATGTGCTTCATCCAGAGGCACTTGGAAGAGTAAGGAGCAGGAGATAAAAATTTGGGAGTCACTGATGTATTTGCATATTCTTGGTACTTGATCTGCTAATCTAAGGAAAGCAGAAAGGGGAGAGAGCCAAGTGCATAGTATATAATAGGTGCTCAATAAATATTTGCTGTCTGAAAACAAAGGGAACACAAATATTTCAAGTGTGAGTTAAGGACAGCAAGCAAGTACAAGAGAGGAGAAGCCATAGGAAGAGAACCAGGAGGAAAGAGTGGAATGCTGTGATTGACCCAGGTCAAAAAGACTGATATTAGCTGAGCTAATATCAAACAGTTGTCTGTCTTTTCCTGCAGGTGGTAAACTTTCTCTGCCATGCTTAGTTTCGATATTGTACCAGTCTCAGCTATATGCAGTTATTTGTACCTTGTACCATTCTCAATTATGTGTAGTTATTTGTGCAGTTACTGCACCATTCTCAGTTATGTGCAGAGTTCTTCTTTTAATATGCAATTCTTTAAAAAGAAATGATTAGTACAGTAAGAATGGCACATATCAAAAAAACTAGCAACAACAAATGTTGGCGAGGATGTGGTGAAAAAGGAACTCTCCTACACTGCTGGTGGGAGTGCAAACTGGTCCAACCATTATGGAGAGCTGTCTGGAGTTTCCTCAGACTACTAAAAATGGAGCTTGCATATGACCCTGCAATTCTACTTCTAGGGATCTACCCAAAGGTCACAAAAACACTTGATTCAAAAGAACACCTGTACCCCTATGTTTATTGCAGCACTATCTATAATAGGTAAAACCTGGAAACAACCCAAATGCCCAAAAATAGACAACCGTATCAAAAAGATGTGGTATACATACACAATATTATTCAGCAATCGTAAAAGGTACACTCATGCCATTTGCAGTAACATGGATGGAGCTAGAAGGAATAAGTCAGTGATTTCACTTATAGCAGGAATATAGGGGGGAACAAATAAGGCATCGGGGAAAAAATAATAATAAAAAAACAAAACAAAACAAATACAGACAACTATAAACCAGAGACATCCTGCAGTGAAGGGGGTAGGAGAGGGATCAGAAGAAGGAAGGGAGGAACACAAGGGACTATGGTATGGTGCATGGGTGAATTGGTAGAAATTCTATGGGGACATTTCCTGAGAAAAGAAAGCAAACATTGTTTAAAAATGAGCAATGATGTAAAATATATATAAAAAATAATAAAAAAAGAAGTGGTTAGTAGTAAAATAGGAAAACTGTCTTAGCTAATATATTTTTTTTTTTAATAGAGGCATGTTTTATTTATTTGTTTGTTTGCTTGTTCGTTTATACATGCACTGGGTACAGTCAGAAGTGCGGGAGGGTGAGAGAATTCACCAGAGCCAGAGCAGGGAGCAGAGCAGGCAGAAGGACCGAAGTACACTGCTGAGGGGAGCAGCGGGCAGCTGGAGAGGTCTGCGCGCCATGTGGGACCCTCCTCTGGTGGCCGGGGAGCAGCTGAGGATCGAACTGGCGCCGCAGAGGCCGCGGGCAGCTTCGCAACCCAGCGCTCAACCGCTGCGCCACCGGGGAGGCCCTTAGCTAATATGTTAACATGATTTCTAATATCTCAGAAAATAGGAAATTTATGCAGAATTGCTGGATATCTACCTTTTTCTTTTGGTAAGTTCTTCTCTATAGATAATTCAAAATTTAATAATGGTTTCACCAATGTTTTCATTTACAGGTGAAGTATGAAGTCATAGAAGACGTCTACACTTCCAGAAAAAAACAACATCAGACCATGATGCATTATTTTTGTGCATTAAATACTCTTCAGTACAAAAAGAAAATAGCATTGTTAGAGCCTCTACTTGGGTACATGCAAGCTCAGGTGAATACTATACTGTGTTTTGGAAATAACTGTCCTAAATATTTTATGTTGTCTGATATTTATGTTAAATATCAAGGGTATTACAAACTTGCCAAAATACTCATTTTGTCTGTGTTTAAGAAGTAATTTAAAAATTGTCCTCACAATGCTATTTTAAGGAGGTTAGGGACAGTGATTATCCTTGCACATGAGATTTTAGGTATTTAAGGGTAAATTAATCTACTTACCTTATATTGAGACCTTGTCCATCACAGTTGGGATAGGAAACAGAGGGCTAAATGAATTCTGGCATTAAAGTTATTGCTGTAGCTTCCACTCAGTACTTGCTTTATTTATAATCTGAAAGAGAATGAACCAGTTTGAGTTTATCTCATGTTCCTTGTTTACTGCATGAGTTAAAATTAATAGGTGAGTGTCCAAAAAAAGTATGTATTAGGAAGGATACTAGAAAATTATTAATAAATTCATGTGATATAAGACCAGATGGCAAGTCCCCTAAAAATCAAGAGTTAGAGAGGAATTTGAATATTCCTTTAAATAATGGTGCTTCATATTCTTCAAAAATATTTATTTTTGTAGTAAACATGAAATAGTTTCTCTACTGGACTTATTTCAAATGTTTTAAAGCCTATTTTCCAATTTAAAATAGTTGTTTACCACCCGCATGTATTAACATGTAATGGGATGGACAGCAGTTTCCCTCTTACCTATGGCTTTAGTTACCTGTGGTCAACTGCTGTCCTAAAATATTATATACAACATATTTTGAGAGAGACCACATTAACATAACTTTTATTAGTTTATTATTATATTCTAGTTTATTATAAATCACTGTTGTTAATCTCTTACTGTACCTAATTAATAAATTAAACTTTATCATATGGATGTATGTATAGAAAATAACATAGTGTGTATGTGGTTTGATACTATCCAGTTTAGGCATTCACTGGGGGTCTTGGATTGCATCCCTTGCAGATAAGAGGGAGCTACTCTACAGTGAAATTTAAGTCAGTGTCACTATGACCAGTAGAAGTTATTCTAAACTGTAATGTAATTGTACACAAATGGGAATAATCCATTATTTTTTACTTAACCATGTATTTTGGAGCTTGTTTATATGATTCACTTTAAGTATTTGTGTGTATGTGTATTTGTGTTGTTCAATCTTCCATTCCCATGCCCTCTTGCCCCAGATAAATTTCTTTAAGATGGGTTCTGAAAATCTCAATGAGCAACTGGAAGAATTTTTAACTAATATTGGAACAAGTGTGCAGAAGTAAGTATTTTCTTCATTAAAATTGAAAATGAAGTTAGGTGAATAATAAGTTAATAGCTAAATACTATATTCTAAAAAATTTACCATTTAATTTCCTGAAGGACTATTTTCTCTGTTATCAGCTCTTCTTGCATGGCTCATGGATGCTTCTTGGTTTTTTCACTGTCTTTTCCACAGATCTGAACAATGAATTTTGTAACTGTATCAAATCTGATAGTTTTTTTTTAAAGATTTATTTATTTATTTTATACAAGAACTAGGGTACAGGCCAGATACACGGGAGGGTGAGAGGATTCACCAGAGACAGAGCGGGGAACAGAACAGGCAGAGTGATGAAATACACTGATGAGGGGAGCAGCTGGTGAGACAGGAGAGGTCTGCCGCGCCATGTGGGACCCTCGCCAGCCGGCGGGGATTGAACCAGCGCTGCAGAGGCTGCGGACAACTTCACAGCGTACGCTCAATCTCCTGCGCCACCAGGGGAGGCCCTGATAGTATTTTATTGAGTCTAATCCTGGTTTTATATTTGAATGTAACAGACACATAATAGTAATTATCCATAACTGAATTATCTTCACAATTATCTGCATTGTGGGGAATGGGCAGGGGATTATTAAATCAATCTTGTTTTCCAAGTCATTAGAAAACAATTTAAATCAGCTTCAAATGTCTGAATAGTGATGTGGTCAAACTGAAGTATGAAGGGAGATAGAAATGATTGAAAGACACAGGATAGAGCTTTTTGAAAAATCCTCTGAAGTTAGGCATTTGGTGTGACTTCATTGGATTTTTAATTTAGTATTGCTTTTAAAATACCTAAGTTTCAAATAACATGTAAAGCTATTTACAGTGGCAACCACATGCCACTGTTGTTCTCTTTAAGAAAATATATAGGAAACAAATATACAGAGAAACATGATTGGTAAGGAGTTTTTTCTTGTGGTTGGTAGTTAATAATCTGTTCTCTCTCTCAGTGTTCGCAGGGAAATGGACAATGATGTAGAGACCATGCAACAGACAATAGAGGATTTGGAAGTAGCTAGTGATCCCTTATATTTGCCTGACCCAGATCCCACAAAATTTCCTGTTAATCGAAACTTAACCCGAAAGGCTGGATACCTTAATGCTAGAAAGTAAGAAAACTATTATTTTTTCCATATATTCTGTATCATCTAAGGTAATACTAAGTGAATATAATATATAATTCGTGTTATCTGTCAAATTGCTTTGATTTTTACCAAAGGTTAAACCTTTTTAGTTAGTGATACTACTTTTTATGTGAACTTTTTGACAGAGGAGGGCACATGAAAAATTTCAAAAATTAAATTAAATTCTACTTAGATACTTATTGAATAATTTAGAGTTATTTTAAGAATATAACCAATTTGAATTTAAATAAGTCATGGCAAGTGAATACTTTTAAATATAATTTGTTGTACTTTCTGTGTAACTACACAAGTCAAATGATAGTTTTTACCTAAAGATAGGATAACACAGGTTAATCCTAGGAGTGAAATAAATTTTTGTTTTGAATTTATTCTCCTAGAATTTGAACTATATTTTATGGAGCATCTTTTTTTTTTTAAAGATTTATTTATTTATGCATACAATAGCTGGGGTACAGGCCAGAGATGAGGGGAGGGGTGTGTGAGAGGATTCACCAGAGACAGAGTGGGGAACAGAAGAGGCAGACTGACTGACATACACTGCTGAGGGATGCAGCAGGTGAGACAGGAGAGGTCTGCTTCGCCATGTGGGTTTCTCTCTGGCTAGCCGGGGATCGAACTCATGCTGCAGAGGTTGTGGATTGCTTCACAGTGCGGTGTTTAACCCCCTGCGTCACCAGCGAGGCCCTATGGAGCATCATTTTAATAGCTGTAGTTTGAATTCCCAGCCTTATTTTGGGGAAGATATTCTTGGAGAAGTGTGAATTTGTTTTCAAGGCTATTGTTAATATTTTCTAGGTATATTGGTACCTTTTGCAAGCTGGTTCTTTATGATGTGCTTTATTTTGTGTCTGGTTTATGATAAACTTTCAGGTATGTTGCTATTAAAGAGTGAATGTGCTTTCTTCATTTAGTAAAACAGGTTTGGTGTCATCTACCTGGGACAGACAGTTTTACTTCACGCAGGGTGGAAACTTAATGAGTCAGGCCCGTGGGGACGTAGCAGGAGGTCTGGCCATGGACATAGACAACTGTTCAGTGATGGCTGTGGACTGTGAAGACAGGCGATACTGTTTTCAAATTACTTCTTTCGATGGAAAAAAGTTAGTATTCTTTTCTACTATTAATACAATCTGTAATACTTTAAATCACTGAACTTTAGGCTAATTCCTTTTCATTTAGACATTTTATAGTTATTTTAAGCTCATTATATAAGAAGATAGTATTCTTTTTAAACTTGTAGAAATAGATTGAATTTTTCATTCTTGATAAATAATATCTTTATATTTTGAGGTTGTCAAAGCAAGGTCATATAGTAAAGACCTAAGATTTCATGTTAAGAGACCATTCATTGAAAATTGTGCCTGGTGTAGGAGGCAACACAAGTTAGTGGAAAAGCCCTAACTCTCACTTAGAGGTGAGAAAGTTAAAATTCTGGACGCACTATGTGAGTACTCTGTGGTTTTAGACAAATTACATAATCTCTGTGTTTCATTTTTTTACATGTGAACTGGGGGTGGGAGGCTGTAATCACTGCTACTTAAATTGTTAAGAAGAGTAGAAATCTAACATGTAATGTAACTAGGATATGGCAGGTGTTAGCAATAATGTTATTTTTAAATGTCAACAAAATATTTTTCATCAAATTATGTAGCCCTTTAATGTTTATATGCTATTTCAAAACTTCTTTGACCTTTGTATTAAATGAGATAGCCTTTACAACAAATTTTTGAAAAGTACAGAAAAGATATAAAAAGGGATATTTAAAAAAAGGCTGTAATCTCACCAACCAGAAATGACAACTTCTTGAACTGTTGACTTTTAGTTTTTATTCTAAATATGTTTTTTAAATAGTTGAAGAAATACTGTATTTGTAATTTGGATCTGCATCCACTTACTAAAAACTTTTCATAATGGTTACATTATAATGCATTTTAAGATATCTACCATAATTAAACATTTAATATTTAATTTTATATTTATTTTTTCTATAATTTTGTCCCTATTTAATTAAAAAAACGTTTTTGATCTTATTGTTCAGAAGCAGCTTCTGGGGTCCCTGAAAGCATACCCCCTTATTTATATACAGAAGGTGTTAGGACTCACTGTCATTTATCTAAATGGTTGTTTAATCTCATGTTCCTTCAGGACACATACGACACACAACTTCTGTGTGTCAGTTATGCTGGATGCTGAAAGCCCCTGTGGTTGTCAACATGCCACATTGTTACTATGTTACTAGAAGTATTTACATTTTTGTATTTTCAGTTTTTTGCTAATGCTTAGCATGAGTTTCTTTTTCCCACTCCTAGTGTGATTCAAAATTAGCAGTTTTTTTCCTCTTAAAATATTAACATCTATAGAGAAGCCAGTACCCCTATGTTAGTGATCAATTTGTTGAAAAAATTGATTTAACCCTATTCAAGGAGAAACAATCAAAAAGGAAGTCAAATTAATGTTTTCTATTAGCATCACTAATTTATAGCTGATTTATGGAAGTGTCAGAAAGTTGAAATGCCTTGTCTTAGTTGTAGTGTCCCTTTGTTATAATCTGCCTTCTGAGAACTAGCACCTGTGTCTTTTTTTGGTACTTCTTGACAGAGTGAGGAGTTGTTGAAATTTGAGTCCTAATGCCTCAAGTGGTTTCCTTTTCCTAATTCTAGTTGGTTGTGTGTTTTAGGGTTTTTAAAAAAAAAATCAACTTGTTATATAATACACTTAAACATACCTTTAAATATAATTTTCTCTGATCACGTTGAAAGTACATTTTAAAAAAGTTGAGCATCCAATCTTTTCTCTTTTTTCAGATCTTCAATTTTGCAAGCAGAAAGTAAAAAAGACCATGAAGAGGTAAATTTTATCTAGTCAATTTCTCCAGTAATGTTTTTAAATATTTTTTCTGATGACAAAACACATAATCAATGCAGTCATTAAAGAAACCTAAAGGCCTAGTTAACTTAAAAAAAAATTTATAAGTGTTATCATTAAACAATACTCCTAAATTTATCACAGAATTTTATAGCTGGCCCTATAAGGAGAGACCTTAGAGACTATCCTCTGCTGTCTTTTTAAAAGCTGAGATTGAGAAATGACCTTGTGACTATAGCTTTCTGGCAGGCTGTTGGTATCATGAGGCGACAGTTTAATTTATTCCCTTCTCTCATTATCCCTCTGAGACTGTATTTGTTGCATAAAGAACATAGTGGCAGCAGATGTGGCATGGCAGGAAACAACTAGACCTTAAAACCTTAGGGAAATGAAAGACAGAAAAACAAAAATTTGGGATTGTTTGTTTTTCCTTACAAGCCTTTTATTTTTGGCTCCATTTTTACTTCTAGTACACCAAATATGGAAGGTAAGTAACTGCCAAAAGCTGATGCTTCCAAAACTTTGTCTTGAGAAATATTCTTCAATGAAAATATACCATAGGTTGATTTTGAGTCATTTTATCTGATATTATAATTTTGTGTATTGGTAAAAGACAAGTTTAGAAATTATGTGGAGATCTATATTTACTTTATTACTGGAAAAGAATAGGTTTTAAAACTGTGGTCTGTTTTCACAGACAAGTGTCTGCTGTTTGTAGGATTTGCCAAGCAATATCAATTTTGTTTAGTGAGGGTCATCAGGTATTGGAATCCTTGAGAAGAGTAAAGCCAGAAATGTGGAACAGAGAATTTTTTTTTATGTTATTTATATCATTGTAAAAAGGGAAGTATGTAGAATAGATTCACAAAAATTTATGTAAGTTTTTAACTTTCTTGCAGGGGAATTGATCATAACATCTGAGCTTTATTTCCTGAGGATTAAGGGGGGGGAGTGATATAGAAAGATAAATATTATAGATTATTAAGTTATAACATGGTATTGTTTTTACATATATAAATAATTTGTTTGTCATAAATGATAAATTTGGTATTTAAAAATAAATTTGTTAAGTGTTTTATTATACCCTTAAATATTATACTTATATATGCTTATCTATCTAGGAAGTTATTTATCTTATGACGAAGAATATATGTAACTATTTCTAATGAAATTTCTATTTCAGTTAAATTTTGAACATTCTCTTTTATAACAGCATTATTGGAAAAAGATGTTTAATCTAATTTTTCTATTCTTCTTCCAGTGGATCTGTACAATAAACAACATATCTAAACAAATATACTTAAGTGAAAATCCAGAGGTAACATTTTTATTTTATTGTGTATTGATCTGGCAAAATGAAATGGTTTTGTGACTTATATGACTTTCATTAATTAATTTATAATCTTCCAAATCCTGTAGTTTTTACATTAAATTTAACATTTCATATAAAACAGTTTGTAATTGAAAGAATGTGGTGATGACTAAAAACTTAGGATTTGAGAATGTTAAGATCAGTGTGGACTTCAGTTTTAGAAAAAATTCCCTGGAGATAGTAGAAACCTGAGAGGATAGAATTTGTCCATGTTTTAAGGGAAAGAGAAGATACTGCAGATAAGAGAATAAAATCAAAAGCATAAATACAGAAATGATATGTTTATGAAATTAGAATTATTGGAGCTGAAAGTTTCTGCTGGTGGAGTATAACAGAAAACTGAATTGTGAATATAGATCACCTGGGGATCTTATTAAAATGCATATTATATTTGAGTAGTTAGAGAGCATGAATTCAGTTTTGCCAGTTCTGCTTTGAGTAATAGTAATAATACCAAGTTAGATGAATTTAGCAGGAAGACATAACTTTAGGTGTAGTCCATACATACAGGCAGAATCCATGGGTACAGAGAATTCCAAAAGGAATCTTGTAGGTCTATACTGCAATATAGTTGGGAAAAGACTTAACCCTATGACAGGAGCTGTCTGATTTCTGCCAGTCTTGGTGAGCCTAGGTGTACTGTGAACTAAGGTGCTTCCCAGGGCTGTGCTCGGTGTGATGATTTCAGTTGAGGCAAGTCTTAAATTGTTGATGTAATTGTTGATTAGATGGGAATGTCGAGGGACATGTAGGAGGCCATTCTTACAGTTCAGGAATGAGCTGAGGGTCTGAAATGGTCATAGCTGAAGGAAGAGAAAAACAATGAATCACAGAAACGGGTAAAATGTAGTTAAATTAGTTAAATAGCTGACCTATGTAACAGATGAAGGAACTGACCATGAGTTATAAAAAAGATGATTTCCAGTTTTGTTTTTTTTAAAATATTTATTTATTTATGCATAGAAGAGTTGGGGTACAGGCCAGAGGTGGAGGGGGAGAGGATTCACCAGAGACAGAGTGGGGAACAGAACAGGCAGATTGACCGCAGTTCACTGCTGAGGGGAGCAGCGGGCGAGATAGGAGAGGTCTGCTGCTCCATGTGGGTTGCTCCCTGGCCGCCCAGGGGATTGAACTTGTGCTACAGAGACTGCTGACAGTTTCATAGGTTGTGTCTTAACCCTTTGCGCCACCAGGGAGGCCCGACTTCCAGTTTTTAAGCCCGGGTGAAGAGCAACCATTTGGAAAAGAATAGGAGTTCTGTTTTTATCATAATGGCTTTGAGGTGTTAGCCAAGACACATATGGTTTAGATGTACAGGGAAAAAAATTTGAACAAAAGAAACAAAATCTCAGGCCTCCCTGGTGGCGCAAGGGGTTAAGCACAGCACAATAAAGCTATCCACAGCTTCTGCAACACAAGTTCGATTCCTGGCTGGCCAGGGAGCTACCCACATAGCACAGTAGACCTCTCCAGGCTCGCCCGCTGCTCCCCTCAGCAGTATATTTCAGTAGATCTGCCTGTTCTGTTCCCCACTCTGTCTCTGGTGAATCCTCTCACCCCCCACGCCTCTGGCCTGTACCCCAGCTCTTGTATGCATAAATAAATAAATCTTTAAAAAAAAATCTCATGAACTCCAAAATTTAGTAATTTCTGTTAGTTTTGTAATAACATGCTTTACAAATATAATTTAAGAAACTTAGTCTTATCTGTAGAGAAACCTTTTGATTTTAGTAATTTGGTCTCTTGCCAATCTAGCTTTTCCTTTCTGTTAGGTTACTTGGGAGCAATAAAAAGTTAAAATGCACATGAGATGACTTGTTAATACCTAGGGAATACATAAAGAATACTTGGATTTGAATAATTCAGGCTTATCCTACTTTCTTAGCAGTGATCACAACTTTTAAGTTTTAATGAATGTTTCCCAGATTATCCAGAATTATTTTATCTATGTTAATGAGAGAAGAAATTTTGATCGATTTGTGGCATGTCTTGGAGTTTTTGCTCACTATAAGACATAGAAATACAAAAATGTTTTGTGACTATTCTAATATCAGTACATTTTATTGATATTTAGATAGTGTTTTAAACAAAACAATAAGTGTAAAAACATTTCTTATAGAAAGCATTCTTTTTTTTTTTTTTTAAGATTTATTTATTTATTTATACAAGCACTGGGTACATTCAGAAGCATGGGAGGGTGAGAGAATTCACCAGAGCCAGAGGGGAGAGCAGAGTAGGCAGACTGACGAAACACACTGCTGAGGGGAGCAGCGGGCGGCAGGAGAGGTCTGCGCGCCGTGTGGGACCCTCGCCCGGCGGCCAGGGATTGAACCAGTGCTGCAGAGGCTGTGGGCAGCTTTGCAACCCAGCGCTCAACCGCTGCACCACTTGGGAGGCCCAGAAAGCATTCTTAATTGCAAATTTTTGTCTGAAAATATGCATGATAACTATTAGTTAACAAATATATAGATATTTCTTATCACAAGTATATTCTGGAAAATTACGAAAACTCCAGCAGCATAATTATAAAATTCTTTAATATTTTGTGATTTTCTATTCCTTTAAAATTTTTTCTTTAGTAAATGTATTGTGTCCACTATGCCAGACAATATATACTAGGTAGTAGCAATACAAACATTAAGCACAATAATCTTGTAGTTGAAAAATATAATACATATATATATTAGCAGAAAAAATCAGATTTTCCACCCTAGATCTATGGGAAATAAATGGAAAGTTAAATTATAATGTTGTGAAGTTACTTAAGTATTTTAACATTAGCACAAGAGAATGAAAGTAAGTTAGTAGCTTCAATTTACATTTTAAATGTAACAACATTCCAATAATTCAGAGAGTTAAGTTCAAACTTCTGGTTTTCTTGCTTTACTAATACTAATTTTTTTTTTTAATTAGGAAATTGCTGCACGTGTAAATCAGTCAGCTTTGGAAGCTGTTACTCCTTCCCCGTCTTTCCAGCAGAGGCATGAGAGCCTGCGGCCAGCAGGGTGAGTTACCAGACTGTGGGCTATTTAAGAACAGTTTGGGCCATTGAAAGTGATAGTGAACATAGTATGAAATAGTTCCCTGAACAACACAGAAAGTGTATTTTCCATGTGGAGTATTTACCAACAAGAATGTTAAATAAAAATATGATTTCAAATTTTCCTAGTGTTACGAGAGAGATGATTTATGTTTCTGAATGTAATAATTGAAAAGAAGTCTATTGTTAATTATGTAGCTGTGATTTGTGGGACTGTGTTTATTGAAATTTGTTCTACTCTTCTTATTGACTTAAAATTGTATTTTCTTATAGTTTGTATTTGATTCACAAAGGAGAACTAAATGCAATGCCTTGTTTTCTTTTATGCTTAGACAATCTCGGCCACTGACAGCTCGAACCAGCAGTTCGGGATCCTTAGGATCTGAATCTACAAATTTGGCTGCCCTCTCTCTAGACTCTCTTGTTGCCCCAGACACCCCAATACAATTTGATATCATTTCTCCTGTGTCTGAAGATCAGCCTGGCCAGGCAAAAGCCTCTGGCCAGGGAGGCAGGTTAGTAATGGTATCACAGGGATATGGTACTGTTGTCTGTAAGGTTTATGATTCCATTTGTATAGCTAAGGGTCATTTCTTACATACCTTGTACTTCAGCAATGTTGTACTTTGATTTCCTGACATAATTCAATAGTTGGAGAAGACATGCAGGATTTTCTCTTTGTTTTCTTCCTCAATTCAGGGAGTTAAGTAATTTAGCTTTAAAAAAATTTAATTATGAATTCCTTTAATTTTAGAGCCTTTTCAAAAAACAATGGTTTGTGAGACTTGACTTTTAACTTTTGTTTCTGTGATTTGAGATTCCTTCCATGTGGCTCATGGTAACTAACCATTGGCTCATCATTTTAAAAAAACTTTTCAGGCGTACAAATCCCTTTGGAGAATCTGGAGGAGGTACAAAATCTGAAACTGAAGGTAAAAAACATGCATAGTATTTTTATATTTAGAAATTCTCACTAAACTGTGAATCCTTTGTTCACATTTGTTCTGATCTATGCTTTTTTAATGTTTATTTTTATTTCATAATTTTTCTTTTTACTCATAGTACATTTAAAGCTGCCAAAATTTAATTGGATTTAAGATTTTGTTAGTCACACATAATTGGACTGTCATACTTGTGACATGATAGTCTTATTCTGGACGCATAAGATATCCTTCAAACTTTTTCTAATAACTGAAGTTCCTTTTGGTACTGAGCATAACTTGTTCTTTATTTTGGTACTATTTGTTTTGTATAATTTCAAGCCTATAGAAGAGCTATAAGAATAGTACGTGGCGTTCTCTTTACTCAGAACCTCCCGTTGTTGAAGCATAACCTTTTGCTATTTGAATTCAAAACTTTAATTTTCCACTAACATGAACTCTAGTTAGGAATTCTTTCTTAATACTGCTGATTTAAAACTTTTCTGTAGAAAGTATCAACAGAGAAGTGCATTTTATAATTTATAATTTAAAATACTTAATGTCCCTTGTTCTGTTGTAGATTCTATTCTTCATCAGTTATTTATTGTCCGATTCCTTGGTTCTATGGAGGTAAAATCAGATGACAATCCAGATGTTGTTTATGAAACAATGCGCCAAATCTTAGCTGCTCGGGCTATCCATAACATCTTTCGTATGACAGAATCACATTTATTAGTCACTTGTGATTGTTTAAAGTAAGTAGTAACTGCTCTCAAAAAAACCATAGGAAAAATTATTTACATAATTTCAGCCTAATTAAAATTTGTTTCCCAAATTTTTATTATTTATTATAGGTTAATTGATCCACAGACTCAAGTTACAAGGCTGACGGTAAGTTGTACGTGTTAAAAGCTTTAAGACTCTCTGCATATGTACATCTTTCATTTTTGTAATAATCCTGACCTTGTATATTCAAACATGGTAATATCAATTACGATTGGTATTTAGGCTGTTATAACTAAGTATATACCCATCTCTTTTAAAAAGTTAAATATTCCATGTAACTTAAAGCATCATTGCAGTCTGATGTAATAAGTTGTTTT